TCGGGGGCACCGCCCGGGCAAGAGGTGGGGACCGTGCCCCCCCCAGCCGGGCCGGTGGCACCCCGCGGGGTCCCCGCCGAGCTGTGTCCCCTCCAGCTGGGCCAGTGGCACCCCGCGGGGTCCCCGCCGAGCCGTGTCCCCTCCATCCCCCTGGCTGGAGATGCGGCTGCTTCTGGGTGACAGCATCCCGGGGCTTTTGGGGACCCCCTTCTGCTACCTCTCCCTGTCCCAGCAGCTGCACGGTGGCTTTGGTGGCCCCTTCCCAGTGGGGACCCGGAGCCCCTGCTCACAGCACGTTCCCGCCAGGCACCTCCGTGCCTCAGTTTCCCCCTGGAGCAGCGGGCTGGGTGATTGCTCCTTAATGCCAAATCCATAACGAATCAGTGTCCTCCCCCCCCGGCGCGGGGGAGCGGAAAGGGCAGCTCATCCGTCCTGGAGGGCTGCGACAGCGGTCGATGGCGGCGACAGGGGCTGCGGTGACGGGGACTGCAGTGACGGGGACTGCGGTGGCGGCTCCGTGCCCTGCCCTGGCGTCTGGGGAAACTGAGGCAGCTGTGGGCTGTGTCGCTTCCCCTGGGCTGTCCCCTGCGGGTGGCTTGTTCCAGGGCCGTGTGCCGCGTCCCTGCTGCGTCCCGTGTGCTGTGCCTGTGTCATGGCTGTGCCCTGTTTGTGTCCCTGTGTGCCACTGCCATGTCCTGAGGCTGTTTTGGGGCCACGCATGTGTGCCGTGGCTGCATGTCACATCCATGTGCGTGTGCTGTGACCGCATGTCACACCTGTGTGTGTGTGCCGTGCCCGTGTGCCATGGCTGCCTGTCACATCCGTGTCCATGTGCCATGCCCGTGTGCCATGGCTGCCTGTCACGTCCGTGTGCCGTGTCCATGTGCTGTGGCTGCATGTCACATCCGTGTCCGTGTGCCATTGCCATGTGCCATGGCTGTGTGCCGTGTCTATGTCCTGTGGCTGCGTGCCACGTCCCTGTGCCATGTCCCCGTGCCGTGTCCCCGTGCCGTGCCCGTGTGCCGTGGCTGCCCGTCACATCTGTGTCTGTGTGGCATTGCCATGTGCCACATACCACATCCGTGTCCCGTGGCTGCACGCCATGTCCCCGTGTCCCATCCGTGTCCCATCCGTGTCCCCCACGCTCCGTGCACACCCTGTGCCTGCGCCCCTGCCCCTTGGTGCACCGGGCCGGGGGGCTCTGCCAAGGGACAGGGACAAGGCGCTGGCACGTGTCCCCCCGGGGCCGGTGGGGGGGGGGCTGCCGGGGGCCTGCCGGGCCCGTGGGGCGGGCACGGGGGAGGGAGGG